TGTATATGTACTTGGGTAGACCTCTCTCAGATTTGTTCATTTCATGATGATATCTTCAATTCTCTAATTTTGGTGAATATTTTTGTCATTTTTGGTAAAAAGTGATATTTTCGACTTCTTGTTGAAAACCGCAAGTCCAATTGCTTTGATATTACATATATAGGTACTACATGTGGACCTCTCTCAGATTTGTTCATTTCATAATGATATCTTCAATTCTCTAATTTTGATGAATATTTTTGTCATTTTTGGTAAAAAGTGATATTTTCGACTTCTTGTTAAAAACCTCAAGTCCAATTGCTTTGATATTACATATATAGGTACTACATGTGGACCTCTCTCAGATTTGTTCATTTTGTAATGATATCTTTAATTCTCTAATTTTGGTGAATATTTTTGTCATTTTTGGTAAAAAGTGATATTTTCGACTTCTTGTTAAAAACCTCAAGTCCAATTGCTTTGATATTACATATATAGGTACTACATGTGGACCTCTCTCAGATTTGTTCATTTTCTAATGATATCTTCTGTTCTTTAATTTCCATGTGCATTGCATTGCCGACAGGCTGCTTGTTTACTATGACCATGACCATGTGACAAATGCTTGGATGAAATACAAAGCATTATGCACACACAAAATATACAGGGTATGTTGTGTTGCAGGTACAGAATTGTCACTGGTAGCATAGTGGTTGTCGCATCAGACTCATGATCGGTAGACCCAAGTTCAAATCCTACCTTAGGCTGAACATCAAAAGGGTCGACCCCTACCCTGGGTGAGTGTACTGCAGACTCAATGGGAAGGCCAATTCCACTGGCCGAGATTCATTCACTAACGAATGCGACTTTGGAGAAACCTTGGTTAAGGTCCGCAGGTGTTTGTGTTCGACCAGGCCTGGTTGACGCCAGGATAGCGCATTACAAATTGCCATTTGACAGAGAGATGGCCACACAGCCCTGTCATGTAGTCCCAAACATGAATATGACTTCTGTGGCAAAATGCACTAGGTGTCGTCACTAGCATTTGCAATTTGCACATACACAAAAAAAAGTCAGAAGAGACAACAGTGACACTGAATGTCCGGAACTGTCGCCTGGCACAACAAATATTTTTACAGAGGTACAGAGTTGTCCAAATATTTATTTTTTTGAAATACACATGAAGGCTACATACAATTACCCGTAAATGTGCTTCATAATATTCAATATTATGTAAATAAGCATTAAAAATTCGTCAGTGTAGAAAATTCATAAATAGAAATATATGTAATATTTTTATTATAATACTGTTTTTATTATATTATTTAATAATAATAATAATAATTTCTTGCTTGCAGTGATGATGTTACCAGATACCAATATTACTTACTTTTAAGAGATAATGTATTGGAATGTCCGCTGCCATGTAGTGAAGAAAATTACTTTTTATTAGCTGCCTATGCATTACAAGCTGATCATGGAAATTATATAAATTCTATTCATACAAAGAAATATTTTGAACCAGAAAAATATTTTCCTAAGTGGGTAAGTAATTTTGTCAAGTAATGTAGGTTCATGTTGTTTTTTTTCCAAAAATATCATTATAAATCACATCTTAAGTAAAACAAACAAATGTTATTCATTGTTTTGGCAAACTTTAATTAAAATTATTCAACCAAGTTGTTATTTTGATGAGTGTGTTAAATTATTGATGTTAATAATCTTGAATCTGGAGTGTCCCCACTTGCTGAAGCTACCGAGTGTAAGACTTGATTTCTCCTCATAATTTACTTGAATATGCTGATTTGTGAAGCGAAAACTTTTATGATCTGAAAAGTTTTCAATATAATGTCAAATTTGCCTAAATATAAAATTCTGTATTTCTCTGTTTACTAGGTGCTAGAAAGGAGGGGAGAAGATTACATTTTGAATAATGTACCAGAAATGCACAAGGACCAAAGAGGATTGAGTAAAACTGAGGCACAAGTAGAGTTTATTAAACAAGCTACCAGCTGTTTAGAGCATGTTATGCATTTCTACAGTGTTAAAAAGGTATAATTTTATATAATTCAGTATCAACCAAAACGAAAAAAAACTTCTTGGGCTGAATTTATTCAAACTCTATATGAACATGATATTTAGCTCCGCTGTCGACTTTGTCGAGCGGAGCTTATCATATGAGTGATTGTCCGTCGTCTGTCGTTCGCCGTTCGTCGTCCGTGTCAATGTTTACTTGTTTGACTTCTTCTTGAAAACTATAAGCCTGAATGCTTTGATACTTGGTGTATATGTACCTTGGGTAGACCTCTCTTAGATTTGTTCATTTCATGATGATATCTTCAATTCTCTAATTTTGATGAATATTTTTGTCATTTTTGGTAAAAAGTGATATTTTCGACTTCTTGTTAAAAACCGCAATTCCAATTGCTTTGATATTACATATATGTATACTACATGTGGACCTCTCTCAGATTTGTTCATTTTGTAATGATATCTTTAATTCTCTAATTTTGGTGAATATTTTTGTCATTTTGGTAAAAAGTGATATTTTCGACTTCTTGTTGAAAACCGCAAGTCCAATTGCTTTGATATTACATATATAGGTACTACATGTGGACCTCTCTCAGATTTGTTCATTTCATTATGATATATTCAATTCTTTAATTTTGGTGAATATTTTTGTCATTTTTGGTAAAAAGTGATATAATTTTCAACTTCTTGTTAAAAACCGCAAGTCCAATTGCTTTG